AAAGGACGAAGTACACAACAACCGTAGCTGGTCTCTGCTTCACGCTCACTTCTTTCCTTCCTCCTCGTGGTTTCTTTGAATGGTTCCATGTTAGGGCAGATTGAACGTCCTGAGGCCTGTGACGTGGCTCCCTCTGTCTGTACTTTACACACCCTCTGTGTTGTAGCACTGTAAGGACGTCCTCTCTCCAAAAGCCTTGGTAGGGATGTGCAGGAAGACCTCACTCTGTCATTTCCTCTCTTTCAAATAAATACATTAATACATACATACATACATATTTTTTAAGCAGGTCTGCAATATACTAAAAATAAAATAAAATAAGATAAAATAAAATAAAATAAAAAACACTGGGCCTTAGCCATCTGCCTAGCACTGAGTCCCCATGCAGGCCTCTGTGCACAGGTACATGTTCTGGGTCTGCAGTGAGAGCTCAGGCATGGTGAAAGCTATGCAGCATGAGGCACAGCCAGCTTGCTAAGGAGCAGGTGCAAAATGAGCTCTCTGGTGATGGCCACAGTTAGTACATGTCCTACAAAGGACCCAGTCCAGCACTAGGAATCTCACCTCATGTGAAATACCTGATGACTTGCCTCTGTTTTGCCAAAAGACGAGCATAACTGAATTTGAAAATCTGTTCAGGAGCAGTGATAGTCAAAAATCTTTATGTACATTTACACGTGTAAGCTGAATGCTCTGTTACACTGAGTCACAGGGGATAAAACACGAAAGCTGAAGAGTAGCTTTTGAGTCTGTTTCAGATAGACAAGGCAGGGGATTACGGATGGTTGAAAGTGACGTAGTGTGATGTTTCACCTATGCACGTATCAGCACACCACTGAGCAAAGCTTATCCGGGGCGCTTCTCACTTTCAGAAATGCTTCATATGTTTTTCTCCCTTCCCTTTTAGCAACTGATGTTCTCCTAGGTCTGAGTGGGCTTTAATGGACATGAAACTATGATTTTTTCTTCATTTATAAACCGATTTCCTTACGCTGCGATTTGGTAGAGTAAGACAGGGCAGTGGCACACTGGGAAATAGCACTGACTGAAATGAGACCATCAGGAGGCCAAAACCAAGCCTGTCACTGACAACCGTGGTAGTTTATTTAGCCTGTATCTATTTTATTTATACCTCATTAAAATGGTGTTTATGACAGTATTATAATATAAATTTGATACTGAACATAAGGTGGTAAATGGTCAGAATTGGTGGTTTTAATTATAATTAATGTCACCATCAGAACTGCCAAGCCCGATGCCAGGTGTTAGAAATGCAGCATAGAAACTGTTATTCAAAGGAGACAGACCCACAGACAAGTCAATGCAGAGTCTCCTGCTGGCATGAGGAATGACCTAAGGGCCATGGATCTGAACAAGAGGCAACAGCACAATTCCTGCCTTGCTCCCACATCACAGGATGTACGGTGTGACAGGTGACCAAGACAAAGAGATGCTTTAAAAGAAACAACTTGGGATAACGCATCACAATTCCTGCTTCCTGGCCCCAGGACTTTCAGTATCAAACCATGATGGCCTCTTCCTTCAGCTCACAGCACAGCAAAGACATCTGAGCACCCAACAAATCCCAAGGTGGAACTAGCTTCGGAAGCCAGGCTGAAGTTGGCCAGAGTGAAAGGGAAAGAACTTACAGACGCTTCCTAAGAGTGCCAAGCAAGGTGCTGGTTCTGTCTGACACAGGGCACCCATGGAGAGCAGCAAACATCCCTTCACCCACAGCCCAGTCACCACCATGTTCTCGCTTTAGGGAGACAGAGAGAAGCTCCTTTCTTGAGAGAACTCTCTGTGCATGGGCAGAACCTGCACTGTCTGAAGGCCTTTCCCTTCACTACTCAGATTCATCAACCCTGAGCCACAGATGACCTACTCAGTCTACGGCCATTCCACCCTGAACGCGCCTGATCGCATCTGATCTCGGAAGCTAAGCAGGGTCGGGCCTGGTTAGTACTTGGATGGGAGACAGATGACCTATTCAATCCTTCCAAATAATACTTGGGGGAGGGCATTCGAAAGCAAAGGTGAACCCAATGCTCTCACTCACATGACACTCTTTCTCATACTAATCAATCTATTTTTCATTTACAATAAATCAGGATTTAACAGAACACAAGAAACATAATTGTCACTCCTCACTCCACAGAACATGAAAAGGCCTCAGGTTTGTTGTTGTTTTGCACAGCATTTGTTTCAGACAGATTCAAAGGTACTTTGTCACTAGGCTCCTTAATGTTACTGTGAAGCTAGGTGTTTGGTTTCCGATCTCCTGGCTTTTCCATCTGCTAAGAACAACCGCTGGTTTCTGTTAAGTGGTCACCGTGAGGTGTGTCCATGTGTGGTTGGCAACAGAAGCCACATTTAGGAGGGGTTGATATTCATGGGCAGCACCAAGAGGACAGACAGCAACCCCTCCTGATGGGGCAGTCGGCAAGCAGAGCAGAGCTTCGCCCACCTGACGAGGTGGCAGCTTTAATTACAGAACAAATGGCGATTTACTGAAACACTCTCCTAATGCTTTACAATTTCTGTAAGAATGAGTCTGAAGGTTTTGGTGCCATATATCAAGTTGAAACTTAATAAATGTTATATTAATTTCTTTCCACTGCAGTTAATGTCTAGGTTAGCATAAATCAATTTTCACAATGCTAATGCATATCATATTTACCAGGAAATCCAACAGAAAGGCTGGCTGGAACTTGAAAGGAGTTTAATGAGAGCTACAACTGAAATTGCTTTATGCCACAGCCCAGGGAATAGCAGCTTTCCAAGAGAGACCAGAGGGACAAACATATCCTCCAGTGGACCACTGCATCCCACGTTGGGTTCCTGGCACCTGGAGCCTGATGCCATAAACTGATACAAAAGCATCAGAGAACAGAATCACAGAACCTTGATGAGAAAGAACAAGTCTCACTTTAACAAAACAACTGGCTCATTCAACATACAAGAAATTTTTTAAAAGTATAGAGAGGGGCTAGCACAATAGCCTAAAGGCTGAAGTCCTCGCCTTACAACAGCTGGGATCCCAAATGGGCACTGGTTTGTATCCTGGTTGCTCCACTTCCCTTCCAGTTCCCTGATTGTGGCCTGGAAAAGCAAGCAGTAAAGCCTTAGGACCCTACCCCCATGTGGGAGACCTGCAAGAAGCTCCTGGCTTCTGACTTGGATCGGTTCAGCTCTGGCTGTTGTAGCTACATGGGGAGTGAAACAGTGGACAGAATATATTTCTCTCTGTCTCTCCTTCTCTAAATCTGAGTTTCCAATAAAAATAAATAAATCTTTTAAAAAAAGTTTTAAAAAGTATGGTGAGGTGCTGATGCTGTGGTGCATCAGGTAAAGTGTGTGTGTGTGTGTGTGTGTGTGTGTCCCTTCCTGTAACTACTTTTCAAACAAAAATATTTGTTGAAAGTACATAGGGGGCGGCCAACTATGGAAGTCAATATGGAGAGTGCTAAGACAACTGAAAGTTAATCTATCATATGGTGTAGTAATCCCACTCCTGGGAATGTATCCAAAAGAAGCGATGTTCCCATGAAAGAAAATAGGAATAGCAACTATCAAAAACAAAGGCAAATGTGGAGAACATCCCACTAAAAGGCTAACAGAAGACTTAATCAAAGAACAACCCATCGCTAAAATGACAGGACAAAACTGCCCCTTATCCATAATAACTCTGAATGTGAATGGCTTAAACTCATCAGTCAAATGCCATAAATTGCAGGACTGGATCAAAAAACAAAACCCATCTATCTGCTGCTTACAGGAGACACATCTCACCAACAAAGATCAGAGGAAACTGAAAGTGAAAGGATGGAAAAAGTTATTCCAAGCGAATGGTAAAGAAAAATTTGCAGGTGTAGCCATTCTTATATCAAATGATATAAATTTTGGTGTGAAGAACATCTTTTAGATGAAGAAGGACACCACATAAATATCAAAGGATACATTCAGCAAAAAGAGATCACCATAATAAATGTATATGTGCTAAATGCCAAAGTATCTAGCTGCGTGAAACAAATATTAATGGGTTTAAAGGGAGAAATAGACTCCAATACAATCATAGTGGGGGACCTTAATACCCCATTAACATCAATGGACAGATCAAAGAGACAGAAATTCAGCAAAGAAGCAACAGAACTCACCCAAACTCTACAGCAAATGGACTTAGTTGATATCTATCCAAACCTTTCATCCTACAGACAGAGAATACTTTTTTTCATCAGCACATGGAACCTTCTCCAGAATTGACCATGTTACAGGCCACAAAACAAGCTTCAGCGAATTTTAAAAAATTGAACTTATACCAGGCATCTTCTCAGATCATCATGGAGTGAAGCTAGAGATCAAGAAGTCAAAACACGAGGAAGACTTGCAAACACATGGAGACTGAATAGTATGTTACTAAATGAGCAATGGGTTAGAGTCATTATCACACATGTAGAAGTAAGGTGAACACATTTCTAAGCTTGTGTTACATCTCCTTTTTGATCTGTCTTTGCCTAGTTATTTAAATCCTATTTTGTTAGGATTGCACAACATTGCCTTGTGCTTCAAACAAGCTCACAGACTACCTTAAAATGCTCTTGGAATGGAGAAAGACTAAAAATGGAGTAAGCACACAGGTTTGTGACTAAGCAGATTCCAATGAAAAGGGGCTCTTTCAGTGACACGGACAGTGGGGAGGTATTTCTGGGAAGGTTGGGCTCAGATTATGAACTGTTTATTAGGAAAGCTGGTTGGCCTCTGCAGCATCTTCCCAAACTGGGACTATGTGCAACGTACTTGCCTATTTGCCAAAACACATGCACACATCACGTCTCTTAATCAATGAAAGGATCATAATAAAGAGAAATTGGACACAGAATGTCATGGTTTAATGCAGTTTAACCATGCAAATCCCTGTTCATAATGATCATTTTCAAAGACATGCTGCAAAACTGGGTTACTGCCTTTAAGTCAAAACTGTGTTTACACAATTCACTTACCATGCGTGCCCGAAATAACGCAGGAATGAAGGACTGGTTAGATAGGTTGAGAATTCTGGAAGAGTCCTTTAGGACATAGATATTGCCAAAATCAACTTGGGTGGGATGTACGTAGATAACTGGGCCATCTCCAACACTTTTTAGGTAACAAGCCTGTGTTTGATGTGAGAGAAAGAACACAGCAACAACTGAAAATGGCTCAACTTAAAAGTCAGTTTCTATAGAGGCTTCTAGCTATCCATTTAAGTAAAATCAGAAGCAAAAAAGTGTTCTTGGGAGAAGCTGCATCCCTTCCCACTGCTGTGGTATGTGGGAAGCATGGATGGCCATGCTGAGTTTAACAACATGAGGATATATCTGCAAACAGGTTTCCTAAGAAACACAGCATTTGCATTTTACCACTGTAGAGTGAAATGTAAAACATTACAACTACAAATAATTGGGGGATTTCTGCATATGGCATATGCCTTAAATTAGGAACCTCAAAATGTTGGACAATCAGTCAAGTAATTTAAACTTACAGTCCAGAAAACTGGCTCTCACCATTGGAGGGTTTGGGCTCCCAAAGACAGAGATGTAAACTGTGGATCTGTGTGCTCCGATGACCTGGGTCTCCAGGACCAGTGGGATGTGCGCAGTGCTGTGGGGAGGGATGATCCCACATGGGGCGGGGCTGGACAGCAGCACAGCAGGTTCACTGCCATACACCTGGTGGAACAGACAAACCAAGGGGTCAGCAAGCCACGACACAGAACAAGCTAAATACATTCTTTCATTCATTTCCAAACAAGTACTGTACTGAATCTTATCACTCAGGCAAACAGGCGGGGGGGGGGGGCCCCAATTCAGCCAGAGCATGTTTGAGTAAATGGAGTGTGTACAAGGCCGAAAAGGGAAAGATAAATGAAGTGCCCAACCGGCATAAATTCTCCACAGTTCGGGGAGATAGCCCTGTACTGCCGCATTTCTCAGCCTGGCCTCTGGCCTTCGTGCTTCAGTTTCCACCACCTTGTCACTCTGTATTCCATCAACAGATACTGCTGGTTTGGCCTGAATACATGCCATTGCTTCCCATCTCCATCCTTTGGCACCTGTTGTTCCTCTTGCTAGAATGGCTTACTTGGCACACTCAGGCTGACCCTCGCCCCAACCCCACTGCCACCCATGCTGGGTATGTGATCTAGGGTGGAGGCTTTTCCTCTGTTCTCAGGCAGCATCTTGTGAACTCCTTTCCATAGCATGCAAAGAACAGTCCTGTGACCATCCCCATGCCCATCTGCTCTCCAGGCTGGAAACTTTGTAGGGCAAGGAACAGGCCTCTCCTCTCTACATGCTCACTTTATAGCCACAAGCATATACTCACTCTGTGTGTGTGTGTGTGTGTGTGTGTGTGTGTGTGTGTGTGTTTTATGAGAAAACGAATGAGTGATTCAAATGTCATCAGCCACTTAGCAATGGGTGATCCTAGGAAGGGCACCATGTGGTAGATTTCTAGCTTTTGTGTAAGAAGAACAAATCAAGCCTTAAAAATCCCATGGTCGAATAAGCTTGGGTAACTCCCAGAGAGGTCTCTGCTCGGGAGAAGGACAGAGCATGTGGCCTCATTCATCCAGAGCCCCGTGCTCCTCGTGTATGTGATATGGCCTGACACAACCACCTTGTCCAGCAGTGTTCTGCTGAGCCCTACTGAAGCCAGAGGCAGAGAAAAAAAAAGGAAATAAATCAGTTAATACAAATCTCATCTTTATCCATGTTTTGATTTTTTAAAAAATTATATGTTGTTTCAACTATGGCATGAAAACTGTGCCTCTTGGTTCCTGGGTGTTGGACTTCCATTGAAACCCCATGCTTTAGGCAGGTAATTCATCCTTCTCGCAGCCCTGAAACCAGGGGTGGCACTGCTCTGAAACGCCATGGTGATGATGAGAGCTGCTGGCTGGCTGCTGAGTGCTGAGTGCCCAGATGCTGAGTGCCTGGATGGCTGCAGATGCCATCACCTATGTGCTTGGCTTCCAGGTCTGCTCCAAGCAGCCCACGTAAGAATTCTAACTCTTTTTCCATAGAAACCTGTTGATGACGAAAAGGGAGTTATCCTAGCCTGTCCTTGAGTTGACTTGAGTTGGCTCAAGACTTGACTTGGCTGCAGAAGTCATGACAAGAACCGAACACAAAATTCTGACTGTTTCACCAGTGTCTGTCTTGAGCTGTATTTTTGTGATGCAGCCTAAGCAGCTCCCATACTCTCCTTAAAATTTGCAATAAATCCATAGCCAAATAATCCCCACCCCTTGATCTGTTATTTGCATGAAATTAGAGAACTGTGCTTACACAACTAAGATTTAGACACAAATATATTCTTGATCAGCTTTATCTCATTAGTCACCTCCCATTACTCCAGCCTGTATACACCTTGTTAAATCTTCTTCACAGATCAGATTACTTAGTCTCCCAGCTAGCTAGGTGTAGAGCCATAGGGACAGAGATATATGTCATAAAATGCTACGGGCTAACTCCTTTCTCATTCCCAGCATTGCTTCTACTCTTCTGGTTCAACAAGTCCACTTACAAAAACTGCACTGTCATATCTCAGTGCTGTTGTTCAAGTCACAGCATAAACAGGTTATTTCTCATGCATGGTTCATTCACAGGCAATTATTTGCAGGTGCGCTTCTGCGTGTTGGCTTAACTGACACTTTTCCCTTCTTTATTAAGGGCAATTTCCCTAGGAAATTAACAATCATTTACACCTACAGCTGTTTACACATGCAGATGGCAATCCAGCTGCGGCTGTACAACCCCATCTTTGTGTTATCTGAGGATTAAAGTTCAGGATTATATAAGGCCATGTGTTCAGAAACATGGTTCTTCAGTAGGATGCCGCTTTCCTACTGAAGGAGTTCAGCGGTAGAAACACTAAGAGAAATGAACTCACCTGAGGCAGGACCTCATAGTACCCTGGGAGATCATCACAATTGACAAGCTGGATCGTTTTCTTATATGGGTACTTCAGAAAGCAGCGCCCAAAGTCCACCTCTTCCTCAACCAACTTGAGGGTAGGTACAATGCACCTGCTCGAAGGAGACCAATTAATTCAAGCAGAAGCTTGTTTACACTCAGAGAACACAGAGTCCCAAGTTAAATACATTTGTCACTGTCACATAGTAGTTTTTAATAACTACATTAATCATTTTCAAATCTTCTCTCCTGTCATCCACCCCCCCGCCCCGCCCCATGCCCGCTGCTCCCCTAGTCATCACTTTTTAACCAAAAAAGAACTAGAAGCAGAACTCCTTAAACGGTGGTTAAGGATGATTGTATTGTTTTTCATACTTGGTTTCTGGCAAGGGGCTCCCATGGTGCCAAGTTCCTTAGGGTAGTGAATCTATTTCTATGTCAAACAGGGCCAATGACCTCAGCATGGGGCCCTAATTAGCTGTGACACTTTGGACCTGTCAGAAAGTTCGCCAAGGGCTAGCAACAAATCACATCATCTAAATAATGGTCATAATTCTAACTTCTATGCAAAGCAGCTGCATTGGGTGGGTAGTCTCAGGCAGCTGTTCAGCCCAGAACTGGCACCGTGACAGTGGTTCTCAACATGTAGAGGGCCTGGGGGAAGGTTGAGTGCAGGGGAGAAAGGAGTCAAAGCCCTGTGTTGGCCTGTTATCACGTGACTTGGGTTCTGAGTTCTGTCCATAACCCTCAATGTCTACTGTGTTTGCTGCAATATATAATGCAAAGGTGAAGAGTACTGGCTTCTGAATTAAGCAGAGCAGGTCCAAACATGGACCATAAAAAGCACAACCGGCGCCACTTTGGGCAATCGCTTTCTGTCTTGGAGTTGCATTTCTCGCATACGTGAAATGAAGGTAAAGTTGAGAGATAAACACAAACATACTCCACTCTTCTCATGTTATTGTGGGGACAATCCAGGTGATGATATGAGTGAGGGGCAGAGCCCAGCACCGGGCACATGCTCAGTAAGAGGGCATTAACCTGTGGTCATGCGCGTGCGGAGCCAGCAGAGTCCTTTCAGGTATGGAGTTCTAAAACAACCCTTCTGGGGAGTTAGCAAGCAGTTCCTACAGATTACAGCCAAAGTGACAACATGAAAGAGGCTCTTTGTGCCCCTAAGTTTGTGATTTAGCCTGAGATGAGTGGTTCATTTTCAGTCAGAACCAAAATTTGTCAGTTGACCTAAAGCCCTTCATGAAGAAGATCCTTTACTGCCTGAAACACTGTAACTGAACTGAGAGTTGATAATATTTGACTTGGGTCACAGGGTAGATATTAGTAGGAAACTCATAGACTTTGTGGGCCTTTGTCTTTTTTTTTTTTTTCAGTTTCTGTAGAGGGAAAGGGCTTGAAGGTATCTGAACAAGCTTAGGGACAAAAGGAGCGTCAGAGCAAAAGGCAGGTTTAACTATGAAAAGGATCAAACAAAAGACCTTTTGCTGAAACAAACAAATTAAGTCTTCAAGGAATACTAACTAGGTCAAGACAAGACAATGTGTTCCTAGTCCCAACTCAAGTTCCTTTAGGGAACTTAACGTTTTGTCTTCATTTATGCCCAAGACACATAAGGAATGACTTACTATCTTCCCAACGACCAGAGCAACTGCACTTTCTTTAATGTATTTCTCCCCAAGGTTAATGACAGAACTACGTTCCAGAACGACACATTAACATTCCCATTTTCTGTTTTCCCACACACAGCATTTGAATACACATACTTGAGAGTTCCAGATCTGGGTACTGTTTGCTTTGGGAAAGTGAAGCCTCAGGGTTTTATTTGGGACCCTGGCCTCATCAATGGGTGATACCACTCCTGTTGGGAAGACTGTCATTGGCTCAAGGAGACACAGAGAACAAATGGCTGAACTCAATGCTGACTCTGGCTTTGGGAAAGCTGGTGATGGCAGCCACATGGTAAGAGCACCCTGGAGCAGGAAGCTGTCATCTGAACAGACCCTCCACTATGGGGGTGAAGGCAGCTGCTTGTTGAGGTTTAACTCCAGAGAACTCTGCTGAATGCTGAAAATGATGCCTAACAATTCTTGACCTCTTCCTTCTAAAACCTCTTCAGTTACAGGTTTGAACGTCAGACCCAGGATACAGCACTGCCTTAGCATTCATCAACACACATGCAACTCTCCTTGGCTCCATCGAAGGTGCATTAGAAACACTGCCCCTTTTAACCGTGGTCATCCAGCATCAGTTATACCGGGAAGGCAGTATAAACGGCAGTGTGCCCTGGCTGACAAGTGAGCTTGCTTCTGGGAGGTGTCTCAGGGTAGGGGTGGGACTCTTGAAGACAGAAAGCAGACGAGTGATACCTGGCTGTAATTAAGAGTGCCAGGACCTCTTCTCCAATGCCCTCCACATCCACCATCAGTGCCAGCTCATATTTCTGCACAGTGTTGGAGCATAGGGTCACCTGGAAAGGAAAAGGAGAGAAGTTGTTATGAAAGGCCAGCCCCCTCTCTACACGGTGGGAGAAGGAAGCCATGAGGAGGTCCCCCACGACCAGGGTGGATTCCAGGTGCCGTTTTGGATGTGTGGACTTTTACATTTTGTCTTGTAGGGTCAAGACATGCTGTTTTCAAAGGCTAGGCGAGAAATCAAATGGCTTTCTTAGCACAATAATGTTGCCCATTTCTGAGGCATTTTATCAAAGGAGCCATTCACCTGCACAAGAAGAAAAATGACCAGAAAAGAATAATATTACAGAAACTTTAATCACTGTAATTTGAATCGTTCCATTCACCTCAAGGCTGTATGAATTATGTAAAACTCAATATAATGACAAAACACTACAATGAAATTTCTCTTACATAAAAATAAATGGAAATAACCATGTCAGTTCCAGAAAGATGGTGTAAGAAATCAATTAATCTCTTTGATCAAAATCCTGCCCCTTCCTCATTCCTGTATTCATTATTAAAGCAGAAAACAGGCAGCTATAAAGGTCTATCTGAGGACAATAGCTGGCCAGAACATTTTCCCATTTTTATTCACTGCTCTGAAACTTCTGAAAGCCTTGTTACAATTTTTAATTGCATTGAAACGGTTTGTACTGGAAGAGATACTTGTTAAGTCTAGAAAACAGCTTCTGGCATGGGTTAAGGCTTCTCTGCCCATAAATTATGTATCAGGTACTAATTAAAAATTTTTTGGGTTGCACAGGGAATCACTGGATGCAAATGAGAGTCCACATAGACCTGGCTGAAGTGCCCTTCAAGGAGGGTGGAGAAGGCTTTTCCAGACATAAAGGAACAAATAAAGACGAAGTCACTGATTTGGAAGGAACACTGGCCAGGCTTGGAGAGACGCAGAGCATCCCAATGTGACTATAACCCCTTGTTTCTAAATCTTGGATAGGGGCAGAAGAAAGAAGAGGGACTAGTTCTAGAAGAAGGCCACCAGGGAGGCTGCATCTTTTGGGATCTTCCTGTGCTAGGACAGTGAGGCTGAGTGTTGCTAAGCACAGCTAACTAACTTGATGGAGGCACTTCCCGTCAGGAGAGCCACACTGGGCCCCCTCGAGCAGCTGCCGTGATGCAGGGGGGCTGTGACCCTGCCTACGCCTGTAGGGAAGCTCCAGGAGGAGCCACATCTCTGACAAAAGATTTAGGATGAGTGGATTTGAGGTGAGACACTAGGAAACCTTAAAGAAATGATGACTGGATTTAATTTTCAATGGTACTGACTAAAAGAGAAAATTATTAACCTTAGCCATGAAGTCATATCTGTCTTTCTTCAACTGAAAAATATAAAATAATTGCCATCTAGTAACTTGAGATACTGTTAGACCTAACTCTTCAAAAGAGCAATAAAGTGATAAGAGCCAGCTAAAAACCAAGTTAATCATGAAATTATTCTCCTGGTGGTCCTTGGAGGCCATGGCTCGGGGCTGCAGGGGTCTTGATTTCATCCAAAGCAAGGAAGGTGGAGTTATTTGCCTCTTCCCCACATTCTCTGTGGAACCCAGCAACCAGTGCCGGCAGTAACATCACATCTGTCTTAGGCATGCAGCCTGGCATACAGCTGGTTTAAGGATCTGAGTCTGCAGGCGAGAAGATCTTAACTATGAATGGGCTCTTATGCCTCTGTGAGTACCAAAGGGCACACTCTCTGTAGACAGCAGCAGTTCCACGAGGGCATGCCAGAAGCCACTGTTTTGCTGAAGGTGAGGCCCATCCAGTGGAGCAGGGTCAGTTTCTTGGATCTGGTTTTTCTTGCTGCCATCCTTTCTTTTACTCCCAGGTGTGCTTGTCTGCATGAGCTGATGAGAGCTCCCTCCCAGGGATATTGGACCTGATGGAGTAAACCTGGATGGGATTCCAGGGATGGCTGGAAGTCCTGCTGCTTGGTGGTGTGCCCATGTACGAGGAGGCTGGGCATATTACCTTAATAGCAGCAAATCCTTGGGAGCGAATGGTGCCGGAGCTGGGGGTGATGGTGAATTCTTTCGGTTTCATTGTGGGTCCTTCTTCCTTGGCTCCAGCCAGCCCTTGGTGGTCTGGGCTCAGCTCACAATTTGAAATGCTTGGACGGCCATGACCATCCCCAGGGATGCGCAGTTTGAAAGTCATAGGAACCAAAGAAGTATTATTGAGTGAGCACATCAAGGTGTAACAGAACCCTGGAAAACAGGAGAGAAGAAATGGCTTTCTTTGAACCTCAATCTGCGTTAGTAACTGCCAAACCCTTGAATTAATTTGCTATGAAATTATGCTACTTGACTTCACCCTGCCTTAAATACTACTTCTGATCAAAGCCATTCATCCACCTGTGTGTGCCTTCATTCAATGACTATATCCTATGTAATTACTATGTGGTAGATTAAAACAAAATCTCCTGATAAGGCCTGATGAGCTAGCTAATGGTTAAATTCTTGCCGATCTCATATGGGTGCTGGTTCAAATTCTGTCTACTCTACTTCCCATCCAGCTCCATGCTTGATCTGGGAAAGCAGTAGAGGATGGCCAAAAACCTTGGGCCCCTGCACCCGTATGGGGAACCCAGAAGAGGTTACTGGCTTCCATGGGATTAGCTGTTGCAGCCACTTGGGGAATTAACAAGCAGACAGACGATCTTTCTCTCTGTATCTCCTCTCTGAATATTTGACTTTCCATTAAAAATAAATATATATTTTTTAAAAGCCTGATTGTCACTCAAGCCCCTCAAAAGGGACAGCCTGTGTTAGTTTGCTGAGTTGTCTTGCAGAAGCATACTTTATACTTTTTTTTAAACAAAGACATAGATTTCTTTTAAAAAACTCCATAGATTTTGTGTACTTTCCAGGTGTGTAAGAAGACATTTGCATGGTCCTGCTCACTGTGTGACTCAGAACCTGTCAAGACATTAGACTGTCCTGGATCCATCTCAGATCATGCTCTTGGAGTTGATGCTACAATATCAAATAGCAGCTGCTCCCAAGGCAGACCCCAGAATCAGCTCCAGAGCCAGCCAGGGAGCAACACTTCAACTTCTACCTTCTGCAGACAAAGCTGCTTGGTCATCCTCTATCGGCTCTCCTGCATTCACTCCAAGGGGACTCGTGCTCCTTTCCTAAGAGCTGCAGAGCTTCCTTGCCTGGTGAGTCATGGACTGAGCTCTGATCATTTGGATTTCTTGGGTGATCACTGCATTTGCTGCCGCGTTCAGAACAAGCAGCATTAGCATTAACCATAAGAAAACACCGGAAGCACCTCTACATTGAGGCCTGCCACAATAACGACACTGGTCTAAAGGAGTCATCAGTGTCACTGCAGAGGATGCTTGGAACGAATATGCTTCTGCCCCACAAAGCAACATTAACTTTCAAGTGAGACCACAGCAGCAAACACAGTCATGTCTCCACTGTGATCCCACATCTGCAGACCCACTCAGAAGAGATCTGTTATGGCTGAGCCGTGGCAAGGGTGACTAGTGGATATTAGAAAGGGGAAGCGTTACGGTGTTGTATTGTTTAACAGGTTAACAATAAATAACAATGGGCTGTAGATTTCCAAAAACTCTATAGAGGAAAGCATCTTGAAAGTCTTTTTCTTTTTTTTTTTTCCTTTTTACCAAAAAGAAATTTCAAACATTTGAGGAGATAGACATGTTTACCGTGATTTGAACATCATATAGTGCTTACATAATCAAGACATCACCTGGTATACAATAAGTACGTACAATTTTTATGTGTAAGTCAAACCAAAAAAATGTGTAAATAAGAGAAGCAGAATAACTACCAAATTAAGCACACTTGAAAGGCAATTCTGGAAATTCCAGTCATTTACATGTCAGATTCAGTCATGTAATTGCTGCATGTGATTTTTCTGCGTTTGCCCAATATTGGGTTCTGAAACCACAGATGCCTTGCCTTTCTTTTACCCTGACGTTTATGGATTAAACATCCTAAGGCAGTGTGTATTCTGGAAAGCAGAGCATATAAACACTCGGGGGGCGGGGGAGTCTTCCACACCATTGCTCAGATTTTCATAGAGCAAAGCCAACTGTAATGCACTAGTCAGAATGGCCTCTTACACTAACGTGTGTCACTTTCCACATTGCTTGTGAAAAGCCAAAAGGAAGGGAATACTGGTTTAAGACTGTTCACTAATAATGATGTTATCCCCAGGTGCGTGGTTGTACCCAACCCTCTTACTACTGCATCTATGATTCCACCTACATGCAAGTATCTCCCCTGTTCTAACGTCCAGTAGATCAAAAGCCAACATTTGGTTTTCCTTTCATTGGAGTCATTAGCAACATGGTGGACAGAATGTCTTAAGGATTCACAAAGGTGCCTCCTCTTTCTTTCGGAACTTTAACAGTGACATGAAGGACACAGCTGTCAAGGAGGTCAATTGTTTCTTTTTTTCGCTAAAAAGACTTGGAGAAACTAGCACATAAAGCTGCAAAAGAAGAATTATGATTCCTTTAAAAGCCTGAATACTAACTGCAGCACGAACTCCCTTCTAAAGAATATTCTCTAACCAATGAGAATAACAAGTCGATTCAGCAATACACAAAAACCAAAAACTAAATTACAATTAATGGACTTTTTGTTACTTGTTGGATATTTTAGACAATGGTCTTAATTTTCCTAGTAAAGTAAAAATGTCCACAAAGCAAAGGGGAGATATGTTGACTAGACCATCATGCAAATCAGGTGGGCATCCTTGCAGCTGTTCAGAAAAATAATGAGGAAGAATGATCAGTATGCATACAGTCAATCCACTCTAGACATAAACATTTAGCCTCACTTAGAAAAGAAACACGGCCTACAATGGAGGGCTGTCCCTTGTCCACTCCAACCATCTCTGAGCAACGATTATGCCTCTTGATAAGAAACAGTCTTGAGAAACCTGTCAACACTGCAGTTCTACCACAAAAGAGAGAAGAAAGCCTCAAAATGAGAGTTGATAGGGAACTCTCCCCTCTGCGGCCAGGGTCACGGAGGGCTCCTGACTCGTCGGCTCTGTCTGCCGTCACAGCTCACGAAAACGGTACGAGTGGAGCATGATCAGCAGTGCCCAAATCATAAAGTTGAAAATATGTACTTGTAATCATCTATAAATCCTTCAGAAAGACTTGGAGTCTTTTTAATTAATTTATTTATTTGAAAGGCAGAGTTACGGCGAGGGAGAGATCTTGTATTTGCTGGTTCACTAACCAGTTGGTCATGACAGCCAGAGCTGGACAGAGCCAAAGCCCGGAGCCTAACTCTTCTTCTGTGTCTTCCACAGAGGTGGAAGGGACCCCAGCACTTGGGTCATCCTCCACTGCTTTCCCAGATCATTGGTAGGGAGCTGGATTTGAAGTGGGACAAGCAAGACTTGAACTGGTGCCCATATGGGATGCTGGCATTGCAGGCAGAGTCTCAAGCCACTCTGCTGCAGCTCCAGCAGCAATTTGAATCTTTTAGTACAGAAAGACCACTGCCATTAAGTGTATTAATTAAGAAAATTTTAGACTTCAATTTCCCCACATAGAGATTATTGCCTTGCACTAGAAGAACTACAAATAATTTTTTTCTTTCAATGTGTTAACCCTTTGATTAAAAAAAAGAGTCTACAATCTTTGGAAAACGTACAGCACAAAAGCGCACTATCAGTCTTTTGTAGGTCAAACTGAGGATGCTGGAGCTCCTCGAGCCATCAGATCAGACTGTTCACCTGAGGAAATACTAACTACAAGACCCATGTGTTTACAAGTCTCCTCAATTGCAGTCAACTTTAATTAGTTACAACTAAACTTATAAAAAACCAACTAGTCTACAAATTCAAGAGGATTTCTCTAAATACCCACTCACAAAGTCTCTTCTCTTTCAATGAGTACTCTAAAAATACATTTCATTTCATAAAATGAAAGTGACGATAATTTCTTATTAACAAAGTCTTTCCTGTAGGCATTTTAGAAGAATTCTTCACTATGTCAGATATACACATACATTGCTCTTAGTATCTTAAAAAAATAATTACTTGGAGAGATGAAGAGACAGATAAACATAGACAGGCAGGGTTAGATAGATACCTTCCTACACTCATTCCCTAAATGCTCCAAGAGTCCCCAGAAGGGGCTGAAGCAGCAGGGGGGTGGGGAAAGGTCTCCCCGACGGGTGGCAGGAACCCTTCACCCTAGCTATCAGCACAGCCTCCCCAGCAAGCTGGAGTCAGGTGCTGCTGCTGGGTGCTGAAGCCAGGCACTCTGATACGTACGGACCTTAGCCACTAGGCCAGATGCTCACCTCACTTTGAGTCTCATCCCACACTGCAATTTAGCTTCTGCTCTCAATACTTACAGTTGGACCTAGAAATTACTAGTGACTTCTAACTCAGCTTGGTCCACATTAACATCAAGTTATTCATGTTAGAAGCTGGCCCATTAAAAATCATCTGTGCTTTGAAGGCCCTCTTTTCGTGATATGTTTATGGTCATTGACACTCACTAGAAATAATACGCAGATAAAAGCAAAATACAGAATTTTAAGGAAATCACTGGTCTCTTGTGGATATACAACAGGTTTCAAAAGGTTCACTGAAAAAGGGAATTAAAGTGAGTTTACTTTGGTACAAATTTTAAAATCCATGCGGAGAAACAGTCTTAATCTCAAGGGAAATGTGTACTATGAAAAACTATGCATGGACTACAAAATTTTTGTACCATAATAAATATCTTTTGTTTACTTATTTATTGAAATATTGATGTATTTATTTGAAAGAATTAAAGAAAGAGGGAGACATAGAAAGAGACAGGTTAATTGCCCAAATGGCCTCAATGTTCAGGGCTAGGCCAGGCCAAGGCCAGGAACTCCATCTGGGTCTCCTTCATGGTGCAGGGGCCCAGGGACTTGGGCTATTTTCTGCCACTTTCCCAGGCATATCAGCAGGGAGCTAGAATGGAAGTGTAAGAACTGAGACTTGAACCGGTGCCTGTATGGTATGTAGGCATTGCAAACAGTGGTCTAACTTGTAGTATCACAAAGGCTGGCCTCAGTAAAAATCTTTTAATTCAAATTTCCGATGATCTTTCTGAAGTTCCCTTTGTATACTATATTCCAGTGAAATATACAATATTATGGGCCATGACATTCAGTGAAATGTACAATATTAGGGGCCTTGATATTTTTTAAGTGTCTGAATTCTGGAATAAAAAAGCTTCAGACGTCTAGAAGCTCAATAATTAGCTTGCCATTAGTACATAACATTTACAATAAATTTCAAAGCTCAACAGCAGGGTGGATTCTGACAATGATTCTGGGTGAGATTTCTTGGCATTTCTGACTTATGATACTTCTTTGGATTCTGTTTTCAGCCCCCAGGGAAACAGGAGACGGGGCGCAGTGTCCCATGTCCCTGTGCTATTGTATTCTTGCACTCTGGAATCCATGCTGTTGTCATGCATCAGTTGCTATGCCCCTCCGTGGACTCAGTTTGAACTGTCTGGGGGCGGTGTCTGCACAGGTCTATGGCACGCTACCATGCCTCACGTGGTGGCTGGCTACAGCTGCCTTCAAGAGAGCGTGCTTCTCTTAATTGGCCACCTGATGACTGTCAAGTTAAAGGTCACTTACACTTTTCTTCAAAAGGGTCTACAGCTCAAATATTCTCTATATTATTATTTTTAAAAAATCCCTTCAGCCATTTATATATTCCAAAGTAGCAGTTACTTAGCTTCATCTGCGCATGTTTTGCTAATAGCTTGGACCTGGTTCAGTATCACGTATATAACGGTGGGTGTTTGTATAAATGAAAATGGCCTGAATAAATAAAACTGTCAAAACCTCAAAATGTTAACTGATAAGGGCATTATGAATAATTTCTTTTTTTTTTCCTCAATAACTCTTTCTCCCCAAAGCTGACTGGGCTAAGGAAGATGAAGCAAAAGTAAAAACGGAAGCAAAGAAGCAAGATGGAAAGGAGAACGGAACATGGCTTTAGGCTGGCATTTATCAACATGTTCTTCATGATTACTTCCTGCAAGGAAGGCAAAGTTGTTTAAACCAAAGCATATTAGTTAATTTGATAGGATTTAAAGTCAGGTTAGTAACAGAAAGTAAATACTAAATATTAAGATTCTGTTAGGAGGGATGAACCCACAAACCATGGTATATCAAAGATGTCCTCACCAACCAAGAAAATACTCTGTCCCTTTGGAGGCAGGATTATTCCCACTGACAGTGCATCAGAGTAGATGGCTCTCCATTGCAACACTAATCCTGCCACTGGGATGTCTGACCGTAAGGGGTCACGCCACTGCCCCAGGGTTCAGTGCCTCCATCTCTCAGAAGGGGGTAATAAGCAGTCCCTCCTTGCCATAGAACTAGCAAAATTTTAAATGTAATATTGCATATAATCCATCCAGCAGTGACTCAAGTACAAGAAATAGCAAAAAAAAAAAAAAAAAAAAAAAAGAGCTTCTGCTGCTACTACTGTTATCATTTTTACTACTGGAGAAGTTTAGACAGGAAGAAGTTTAGACATGGCTCAGGGAAGCGACCGGATGAGAATTTGACACCGAGATATATAAAAGCCTTTGATACAGAGCAACAGAACTCCAGGGTAGACCCACCGCAGAGTTCACCTTAAGCTTCAGTGCCTCTCTATGAAGCCAGATCATCAAGTCAGAATGCAATTTAAATACAGTGCAGAGTGCTTGTGGAGAGGACGAAAGCTCCCGGGGCCTCTGCTGTCTCATCGTGAGAAGAGCGGAGACAGCCACGGCCTGACAGCTACCAACCCCGGAACTCAGCCACTGCTTTCAAGTGCAAAGTCGACTATGGGACCAAAATGCCATTGCTGCTGAGGAAGGGAAGAACAAGCGTGGAGCCTCCTAGCTCGTTCCCACAGAAAGGCTGAGAGAACATTCTGTGTAGACCCTTGCTCCTTTCACAGGGAGGGTAAAGGAATCCCACCCCATCTCACATTTAAAAGGGAAAGTTACTCACCATAGGAAACATCACCGAAGTGAAGCGCGGGCACGTTGAAGTGGAAGGTAGGCCCAATGACACAGCCTCTGGAAGGCAAGCGGGGGAGATCAGAGAAGCCAGTGAATTCAGGGTGACCGGCTGGAACCTACTGAAGTCAGTTGTAGATGCCAGCACATAAATCATGAGATGATGGCTAGTCACAGCGGCTCTTAAAATTCTTTGTCAGAACTCAAACCATGGACTTAAATTTAAGCAAATGACGCTGTGGTTAATTTATTGCTTTATTCTTACCAAAGAGTAGGGGCAGAGGCTAGCAGGCAAACTACCAAACCAGTGGCACAAAAGGTGGTGAATTTGGGTGTCACATAAAGCACGTCACATAATTAACTTTGCATATCTGAGAAATGTCAAAGATCAATGATTTGAGTAATCCCTGATGATCATGCTTTCCTAACACTTATAAAAAATTATTTACTTATTTGAAAGGCTGAGTTAGAGAGAGAGCAAGAGAATCTTCCATCTACCAGAGCAGGCCGCACTCAGTTCCCTGTAACTCCATCTGTGTCTCCTATGTGTACGCCAGAGACCCAAATATTTAGGCCACCTTCTGCTATCTTCTTAGGTGCATTGGCAGAGAGTTGGGTTGGAAATGTAGCAACCAAGGTTTGAACTGGTACCCACACAGGATGCTGGCATCACAGGTCGTGGCTTAACCCCTTGTGTCACAATACCAATGTCCTCCTCTCCTACAGCCTTCCCCTCAGCTGACAAAAAGCCTCTTAATTCCATCCATGCTACCACCTCATATCACTACGTAGCTCCATTCATGTTGCCTTCCAATTGTAACCTCAGCCTGTCCCTTTACCTCCAGTAGTCTGTTCCTCTTACGTTTAGGATTACACCTGGTCTACCAGGACAATCTCTTAAACTGAATTAACTACATAACTTAATTCTATCTGCCACCTTAATCCCCAAGTGTCACACAACCTAAACAGACATCTTTGGGAACTCTACATTTCATACCTACAGTAAGCTAGTGGTTGTAGATCTGCCTTTTATTCATTTCAAGCTAGAACGTCTCTCTAAGATCATGAGGGCTTACCTGAGTGAAATAAATCAACATTTAAAGATCCTTCCGGGTTACCTGGTCCAGTCCTCTCTTGTTTAAACATGAGGGAAGTATCTTATCTCATGAATAAATGTCTCTTCATAAAAAATATGGGCCCAGCGCAGTAGCCTAGTGGCTAATGTCCTCACTTTGAACTACCAGGATCCCATATGGGCGCTGGTTCATGTCCTGGCAGCCCCCCTTCCCATCCAACTCCCTACTTGTGGCCTGGGAAAGCAGTTGAGGATGGTCCAAAGCTTTGGCACCATTGTGGGAGACTGGGAGAGAAGCTTCTCGCTCCTGGCTTTAGATCAGCTCAGCTCTGGCTGTTGCGGCCACGTGGGGAGTGAATCATCAGATGGAAGATCTTCCTCTCTGTCTCTCCTCCTCTCTGTATATCTGACTTTCCAATAGAAATACATTTAAAAAAAAATAAGAATTTTCCCTGGTTTTAGAAATTGTTTGTGGTTTGAATCCCCTGGACATTTTTGGATATATAAAACAGAGTGTTAAAGGAACTGAAATGATAGAGCACCGAGCTAATCCACGTCTCTTGGAAACCAGTGAGCGGTGTGGGATAAAGCCCAACACTCCTTCTGCAGCCAGGTTCTCCTTCCCTTTGAAAAGACCCAGGAATGAACAACATTCCCGCAAACTGCCTGCCCCTGAATGGGAAATGGGCAGATGGGAATGTCCAGAAGACAGAACGAGAGCCTTAACATCCACAGGGAGTTGGAGTTGTAGTTAGCCAAGTTCACTTGTTAATAGGTTCCTGGGAGATAGCCAGATACACAGGAGAAAACCCATATAAACATTAACCTATTCCGACAAATGATAAAGATACACAGATACACAGAGAAACACACACATACACAGAGGTTTCAAAAATTCACCCAGAGAATGACAATATTATTTAATATTAAAGCCTCCCAGAAATATTTTTAAATGACAGCTTCATTGATATATTATTTACATGCCATGAAATTAATCAATTTAAGGTACATAAATCAATGGCTTTTGTCTTTTCACAGATACATACAAACAGTACCACATCACTACAACCAATTTCAGGACATTTTTACCAAAAAGGAAATCGCATGCCTTTGATTATTGCTCTCCTTCCTGTATCCGCAGCGCTGAGCAACCTCTAGCGGACTTCTCATCTATAGAGACACGCCTACTCCAGACATGTCACGGCAGTAGAATGTGGAGTTTGGTTTTTGGCGATTGGTTTCTTCTACTTGTCATGTCTGCAAGGTTCATCCACTGAATCATTCTGTGGCATGCATCAGTGCTCCACGCTTGTTTTTTTTTTTTTCATTCTACGATGTGGATGTACAACATTTTGCTTATCTGACTGTGAGGGTGCAGGGTCCCAAGGCTTCATGTTGTCCTCTACTGCTTTTCCAGGACACAAGCAAGGAGCTGGGATGGAAGCGCAACAGCAGGACACAAATCGATGCTCATATGGGTACTCGGAGGTGGATGACTAGCAAACTGAGCCATTGTGCCAAGCCCCTACATTTTCATTTTGCACCAACATTGTATTCTTGGGACAAATTCCACCTGCTCATGGTATATAATCTTTGTAGTACCTTTCTGGATTAGGTTTGCTAGTATTTTGTCAAGAACTTTTGCACCTACATTCATAAAGGTTCTACATGATTAATCTCAATGCTTAAGAACAGATCCTCATGGGTTTATCACTCCCCTTGGTGATGAAAAATTGAATGCTGGATGCTCCGAAGGGTATGCATGACTACCAGCAACACCTCATGATGCCAAGAAGCTAAGGGCTCAACTCAAAAGCTTCCAGGATTAATCTGTCAGAGCTGATGGAAGCATCTCAAAGCAATCGAAGATCTGAGGGTAGGAGGCGAAGGCTTCAGTTGCAAGCTTGCTCTCCCTGTCTCTCTTGATCAGCTCCGTGTCATGAAATGTGAGCCATATTGCAGGCGGGGAGAGGGCTGAAGTTCATATAAGGCAAAAGTGCACATCCTTCTCCCACCGTATGTGTACTTGAAGGATGTCAATCACAGGATGGGATAAAAATAGGACAGCTCCTAAGAGGTCAGTGTTCTTCAAACATTTAAAGACCAACCTAATTTTTTTTTCAATTGAAACACACATTAGTACATTATGAAAAAGAATTTAAAAGCTTGTAAATATTTCAAATAAAACTTGAAAATTACAAAAAAATAAAATAAAATGACAGTTGTGGCAGGCTGTGGCAGGCTGCCTTGGCTCTGCCACAGGGCTGTCTCCTTGGTTTTTCCGGGTGGTGTTATTGTGACTGGCTGCCATGATGGAGCCCCAGACTGGGCTGTGTAACAGGAACTCCTTTCTCTGCCTCCCTGGGCTACTGTAGGTAGGGACTTTTCCCTGAGGGCCTTTCTTCTCAGTTGGGACATGGTCATCGTCTCCTGTGTCTTTCCCTGCACTTACTGATATCCGGAATCAGAAGTCAATCACGTTGGATTAGGTCACTGTAATCTAGCTTCCCATTTCAAGCCCTGACTCCGAGAACAGATCTGGAGGTGGTGGGTGTTAGAACTTTGACCTATGCATCTTGAGCAGCACAATTCATCACATAACGGAGGTATTTAGGTGAATTTGAGAATAAATGATAACTACCTCTGGGCTGACTTTTCAGGTTCAGAATTCCAAGGGATTAACACATTTCCTAGGGCCCTCCAGACAGCCTGAATCCGTCTCTTTTCTATGGTAATCTCCAGATCTCCAGGGAGACCTCAGCTTGTGGGTGAAATCCTGTTAGCAGTGACCATAAAAGAGAGACTTCCACAGTAATGAACGTCTCATTGCTGTGGGAATCCAGAGCAATGTGTTCTGAAGACAGGATGTTTCTATCCTGAAGACACAATTTTTCTAACACACTAGGAATTAAAGCTATATGTGTGTGTGTCTTCCCAAGGGTTGGGAAGAGGGAAGTTCTTTACAGAACCTGAGGACAAACTTGGCTACTACTAATGACTTCCGATGATCACAAGCCCCTGGAGAAGTGCCTCTCTTGGGCTGAGTGACACCGTGAAGCGGACTCTTGCCTGCAAGCAGTATGGCTGAGATCTTCCAAAGATTTTCCTCAAAGCAAAACCAAAAGATAAAGGTAGAGCAGCAAGTGGTCAACAGCCACAGCTTAGGCAAGATGCCTGTTCAGGTTACTGGAATAACTTACTTTCTAATTACATTCTAAAATGTAAACAGAGACAGGAATAGACCCATTTGTTAAATCTTTATTGCAAAATGTTGTAATTTACAGGGAAACTGCATCTTCAAGCAGCATCTGTAACTGTACTACAGTAAGTCACCCGTGTTCAGTACAGTAATTTTGTTGGAAATTCAGCATACCCCATCATGCTGATGTGTTTGTATTAGCCAAGATGGTTACAGGGACATCTAAGACATGGTCTAGTCTTCAGGAAAGCAGTAAATCTAGACTTTGAGTTACAAATGCACCTTACCTGATGGTCAATTTCACAGGCTCAGGTGACCCATTGACATGGACCAGGAACTCCTCCTCAAAGTGCCCCAGGATGGCAGGGCTGAAGGAGATCTGCACGGCTTGGACTCCATCTGGTACGATGATGCCTTCTTTGGGGCAGAAAACAAAGCAGGCCCCCGAGGCTGACGCTGGAGGGATCAGGTGGAAAAGGGCATCGATGCTGCCTTTGTTGTACAGAATCGTCTACACCAAAGGCAAAGATGAGAGGGTTAGTAAGGGAGTCACTGACGGACTTTCACATGAGCTGCATTACTCACAGCAAATGCAGACAAAGTTATGCGAAATTACAACACCTTTCAGGGAGATACGAGCATTCTGTCCAGGAAGCTTGACACTCACAGAGTAATTTTATGTTTTTAGCCTCTTCTTCAAAGTGAAGTTATGGGCTGGCATTGTGGCATACCGGGGTTAAGCTGCCTCCTGCAATTTCAGCATCCCATATGTGCATCAATTTATATCCTGGCTAACTTGCATCTGATCCAGCTCCCTGCTGATGTACCAGGGAAAGCAAGAAAGATGGCCTAAGCACTTGGAACCCTGAACTCAGGTGAAAAAATGAGATGAAGCTGCTGGCTCCTGGACATGGCCATTTGGGGAGCTAATCACCAAATGGATGATCTCTCTCTTTCCTTATATATTTCTCTCTCTCTCTCTCTCTCTCTCTCTCTCTCTCTCTCACTCTCTCTCTCTCTCTCTCTATATATATATATATATATATCTGTCTCTGTCTCTACAATTCTACCAAGTAAATAAACACATCTTTGTAAAAATAAAATAACATGAAGTTAGCAGTCTGCACTACGTCCTTGCTCTAAGGGTGGGTCACAGGAATGAGCATTTGCCTGAGATGTGTGCCCCAGTTCAGAGAGCCTTGTTTCAGTCCTAGTGCCTCTGCTCTGACTGCAGCTTCCTAAGGCATACTCCAGGAGACATCCACAGGGGAGTCCTGCGAGGGGTTCCAGGCTCCTGGAGTCAGCCTTGCCAGGTGCTGGCTCTGGTGGACATTGGAGGAATTGAACAAGAGGAGCTCTCTAGCTCTCTCTCTCTTGCTCAATTCTCATCTTTCAAGTAAAAACATAAAAATAGATCTTCTTAAAAAGAGATGGATTATAGTCACTTTTACCTACGAAAGGCTTTAAAACAATCTTTCATTTTCTGTAAATTAATTAAGCAAAGGTATTTTAGATGCACAGAAAGATGGAAGTGAAAAACAAAAAGCAAGTCAGACTATAGGACCGGAAAGTTCCGGAACTCATGCTTGGCCTGAAGAATGTCAGCGAGGCAGCCCTGAGGATTCAGTATCACAGGGTTCTCTCGCGGTGCTGCTGGTGCATCCTAGTGGGATATACCCATCTTCCACCCCAAGGTGAATGACTGCCCTAGATTTCTTACACAAGTAATAGCTCCACTACAGAAAAGTTTTGTTGCCTTCTGGGAGTCGTGTGTACATGAAGGGCTCAGGCTTTGCCTGCAGAGTCCTCCACAGTGGGAGTCGGGTTACCACTCCAGCTCTGCCCTCCACAATGCCTGCACATGCACTACAGACACACTGTCTTATTCCAGGCCTCCTAAACCACTGTCTCTATTGCCTGCCAATGCTGTGCCTCACACCCAGAAGGGAGAACATGATGTCATCTCATTTTATGTACAAACTCCTTTCGATCTAAACTTAAGGTGCTGGAGGACAAAGAGGATGGGATCACAAAGAAACATGCAGGATGTTAGTGGGAAAGTGTGAAGCATGCCAGGAGCTGAAAGCTAAAGGAGGAGGCCAAATGTGACAGGAGTATATGCCCAACTGAAGCTTGTATGCATTTAACTTCTCATTAGGGGCCATCCCTGACCTTGAAGGGAGATGGCTGTGGAACTGAGGGGACACATGTTTAGGGAGTGGGGAAATAGCAATGACTATTTGGGCCTCCTCTTTTTGAGGAGTTTCATAGAGAGAAGTGAGACTAGGGGTTAAAGGAGACTTAATTAAATGGGACAGGGCACATTCAGCACCTGGTCTAGGGGAAGCTCCTAGTTATTATCATTAGTGAAGGGGGCAGGATGGCCGGGAAAAAGGGGTCTGGGTAAGTTGACGGGCCTGGGTTGCCTCTGAAGAAGCAGAGAAGAGAGGACAAGACCACAGGTAAGACAGAGCCAGCTGCCTCCCCAGACAAGGGCAACCATTTCCACCAAGAGAGATGGCTACGGTGCATTCAAGAAGGCACACAAATAACCAGCACTTGCTGTCTGGTTACCTTTCAATGTTCATTTTTCATCTCCCTCATTCTAAATTCCGTGGGAGTAGGGCTTATGCACCACCCTTTACTCCTTTTAAAGAGGCCAGTGGGAAAAGTGATTATGGCTGGGGACTCTGGAACCAGACTGTCTTGGTTCAGATCCAGCCTTCCCATCGGCTTCATTGTGAGCTGCGTAACTATGGGCAATCTTCTTAGCTTCCCTGGGCCCTAAAACTTCAATCTGCAAAATGTGCTACTATCTTTATGGAATGTTTCACCCAGATTTTCTATATGGTGACAGTCCCCTCTCCCCATTAGAAAAATGCGTGTCATTCTTCTACCTTTGCCCAAGGAGCACCCACTTAGGAACACAGAACCCAGCAAATAACATGGAGCACGACTGTGAGTCCTTATGGCTCTCGGTAACACTCTCACCCTGCAATCTGACTCCTTGTAGAAGAGAACATTCATAACAGAGCTTCACCTTCCAGTTATTTTCCTTGGTAATTACATTGGGGAATAAATGTACACTCTTGGGAGTTCTAGTTTAATTTTTTACATGTCTGCTAAGCTCAGCAATGACTAAGGGCTAGTTACTCAAATTTGTCTCAAGCAGGTATTGTAATACATTGAAAAAGTGATGCAACGAGGCATCAGTTTTAAATATGCAGAGTGTAAAATATTCCTGTAAGAAGCACCTACCCTGTCCTTCTCTCAAGCCTGTCTGTACGTTCTGTTGCCCAACCAACACTTCTTTACCTACCCGTGGTCTGCTCTGTCGTTAGAATGTGATAGCCTACAGCACACTCCTGCTAGTTCTGTAAGGAGCAGAGTGGGTGTTCGGTTTTGAATCCTGGCCCCACTCCTCATTTCAGATTCCTAATAACACACAACCTGGGAGGCAGCAGATGATGGCTGTAGTAGCTATGTCCCTGTCAACCACCTGGGAGATTCTGGCTGAGTTCTGGGATGTTGGCTTCACCCTTGCCCAGCTGCAGCTGTCTGGGCATTTGAAGACTGAACCGGCAGACAGAAGATCTCTGTGTCTTTCTGTGTCTGTCTCTCTGATTTTGAAATTTTAAAGATTGTAAAAAGTTGTTACAACACTCAGGGCATCTTGCATTTTGCATCAGGTCTAGAAGTGATTTTCTCAAGTGCTGTTTGTAAGGTACAGTCTTTAGGATGCTAGGAAAACACACGCTGGTTAACTTATATCTAGAAGAACAATTTCATATGAACCTTTTCTTCCTTTCCCTAAGTGGCCCTTCTCCCAAATGCAATGCAGGACAATGCTGACAGAATATACCCATGCTATTTTGCATTGCATGACAAACATGCAACTGATGTCACACTCCATTAGCTGACTATGAGTGCAAGGGAGGCTGGGAAATGTGGTCTAGCCATAAGCACAGCAGAGGAAATGAATAGAGAATAGGGAACAGAAAAGTTGACTGTGAGAAAAGTTAAGCAGCTTGGCAAGGTGATACAGTTTAAATTACATGCCTGTGTATAATCTATCCCATCACAACATTAGCATTGCTGCCTCCCATCCCCGCCCCTCCACATAAGCCACGGTTACCCTGGTAAAGGGAGGTGAAGGGCATTGTCCTCAAGCCAGATCAGGCTGGGCTGAGCTGAGCTGGCTGCAGGCTGGGTTTGTTCAAGGCCAAAGAGTAGGATGCTGAGAGGTTGAAGGATTGAAATGACTGCAAAGGCCTTCTCTTGCCAGAACAGGACAGCTTTTCTGTCCCCTGAACCTAGTTCCTCTCTTATTGTGCTTACAGCTGGGCCACCTTTTCCAGGCTGCCTTGCAGTCATGGTCAGCTAATGGCATGTGAACAAAAGTATGGTGTTCTACTGCCAATGTCACCTCCTATAAAAATCTCCTGTACGGTCTTCCCCACTCTGGCCCTGATTCAGTGTGACACAGCTGAGATTTTAGCTTTACAGCTTTCGTGGTAGGAATGGCCACGTCGAGGAAGGATGGAGCCAGGGTTCTGCACCGCAGAATCCTGCTGACTGGGGCCTGTGCTTTGGACTGATGATGTACACAGCAGAATAAACTCCCACACTTGAGATAGACTTTTTCCCTCTTTGTTATATATTTAGTACTGCCTCGCTTAACAAAACTCCTCTGGGTATCAGCTTAGGCAGCTGTAAAATGAAAACAGTAACTGTATAAACTCCACAGGGTTTTGCTGAGGACCAAGTGAAGAAATGCATTTCAAAGCACCAGCACCGTGCTCAGCACACAGCAAGGGCAACGTCACTGACGCCATCAGCCACCACATGCCTCTATCTTCCACTTGTAAAGTAAGTACAGTGTGGCCTTCCTTTCACAATTCTGTAAGGATTAGAACACACACACACACACACACACACGTGTACATACAATGAGTCACTGCATCTGACACCTATTCGTCACTCATTAAATAATCACTTTTGCATCTCTATAAAACCCAAATATGTACAATTCATGGTCCTTTCTGAAACAAAGTTTCAGTGGTTACAGTTTGACTAGAATGTAACAATGTGTCCCAGGTACAAATCAGGAGATTAGGTGACACTCAAAGAACTGCTGAAGATCGACCAGCACATCCTGTACAATTTCTACTTAATTGAATAAAATAGGCGGAGGGGATGCAAGGGGGACTCTTCCAAGACTCACAATGATCAGTTTTTTTTTAAACATAGACTGGACATTTGTATATTTGGGGAAAATTCTAAAGTGTGAAAGCAGTTATTCTCATTAGAACATTCTAGAAAATGTAAAATGTTCTCTATCCTCCAAGCTGTAAGATTTATGCTATCAGATAAAAAGTACTAGACAGATGGGAGGATGTATTTATGGCTTTCTCCTTCACAATCCACAACATGATGAGGATAAAACCAACTAAGTTACGGCTTTGACATGCTTTGGTTTTCTGTAACTTTAGAAGGTGGCTGATGAGAACGGAAAAGTTACTCCTATCAACATGGATAATACAGAAGGGGAGGAGACTGAACACTCTGGGATCTGACTGAGGACCAGCAATGGCAACTCATTTTCTATCCCATCAAAACACACACCATACAAAATCAAACAAAAATGCCAAATACTGTTGGCAGTCTCTGTGCAAGGTTGGGGGCTTACCTCATAGCAATGTACAGAGCCAAGGAAAACTTTTCCTACATCCAGCAATTCAAAGTTGAAGTGCACCTTGGGCCCCATGCCTTCCCCTCTGATCCGGAGAGGCAGACGGATCTCCCGGCCTAGAACACAAATTCAGACTTGACCATCCAGAACAGTGTTTTCTTGGTACCAACAGAAAAAAAATCAAGATTATCAGATTTTAACATAATTCTTAACATGATTCTGAGTTTTGTTTTTTTTATTTAAGTAAAGGCAGTTATTTCCCTAAATCAGAGAAGGAAGACCACTAACGGGGTGCTGCTAATAAAAGGAGAGCATCCCAGGGCTCTGAGGGTGCACGACCCGACGGACCCTCCTTTGATGTAGGAAGACTACAGGCATGCAGGACCTGAGTCTCCAGGCCTTCACCTGACCTCCACTGTGCAGGTCAAGGTCTCTTCCTTTGAGAGGTAATGCAACACACTCACGGGCAGTTATCTGTTACAAACACACTTAGGATGGACCCGGGGTTTAAACAGAGCATATAACATTGAACATCGACTGGGTTTGTCCTCCCTTTCAACAGAAACATCTTTACTGGATGACAATCGTCGTTACCAGACATTGTGGGGAACGTGGAGATTCTGTCCTGATTCTACCACGAAAGAGAGCGAGTTCACACTGTGGTGCCTAACCTTCTACATTTAATCCTATCGAAGACGGTCAGTGCAAATGAATGCATATGCTACATAATGCCTTGTAATTTTTTTTTTACCTAACAGAACATTGGAACACTTTTAACATTATCTTCAGTTAAAGCTATCTTCATCATCCTCATTGGATTCATAGTCAACTTTAGGGGAGGTAAATATTTTAAAATCTTTGATTGGGTATGTGAGTGACTTCCAGATTTTTCATTACAGAAAGTGAGTATGTATCTGTGCATAATTTCCATACACTTTCCTTAGGTAATAAGAAGATACCTCAGTGTTTCTGTTGAGAAATAAGCTGACAATGTTTTCTGCTCATTTGAGGCAATGTCTTTTCCAAAGATTGGTTTTCTTGTTTTTGGCTTTGAGCAGCTTTACTGTGATGTCCCCAAAAGTGGTTACATTTACCCTTCTTAGTGAGGCAGCACTTACAGAATACGTTGGTGAATGGCTCTTGTCAGAGTTCGACTTTCATTTTCTCTCATTATTTCTTCACATACTGCTTCTATGCTTGTGCCCCCTCTTTTTCTCTCCTTGACCCTCATGTTTGTTTTTAGATTTTGTCACTAAACACTTCAGGATTTACAGATACTTTCTTTTGATATCTCTCTGAATATACATAGCTGGTTGTGACACTCATTCTGAGTTGTTAGTTTGTTATCTTTTCAGTTTAAATCTGAGCTTCAGTCTTGGTGAGGGCATCCATGGGTCCCATCCTGCAACCTGTAGGGTTACCAGGGCCTCTCTTTCAATTCTTTGTCCTTGACCCTGCTGAATTTCTCATCCTCTCTGCAGTTTCTGTGCCAAGAGCACTGTCTTTAAGGATAATGTGACCCCAAAGTTTGTTGGCTTTGGATTTCCTTCCTCTGTTAAATCGTGGCTCCATAATTTTTTACTGGCTAAGGAAGTTTCTTATGCTTTCAAAACAGATTTTAAAAACATTTTCTTTGCTTTTCTAGTTGTCCTTAAAAACATTTAATCAGGCCCTGTGCAACAGCCTAGTAGCTAAATCCTTGCCTTGCATCAGCTGGGATGCCATATGGGTGCTATTTCTTGTCCTGGATGCTCCATTTCCTATCCAGCTCCCTGCTTGCGGTCTGGGAAAGCAGTAGAGGACAGCTCAAAGCCTTGGTATCCTGTGTGGGAGACCAGGAAGAAGCTCCTGGCATTGGATCAGCTCAGCTTTGACTGTTGCGGCCACTTGGGGAGTGAACAATCAGATGGAAGATCATTCTCTGTCTCTCCTTCTCTCTGTAAATCTGACTTTTCAATAAAAGTTAAATAAATTAAAAAAAAAAAACAGTTGGGCCCAATGGCATGGCCTAGTAGCTAAAGTCCTCACCTTGAACAGGCCAGGAATCCATATGGGCACCGGTTCTAATTCCAGCAGCTCCACTTCCCATCCAGCTCCCTGCTTGTAGCCTGGGAAAGCAGCTGAGGACGGCCCAATGCTCTGGGATCCTGCACCCATGTGGGAGACCTGGAGGAAGTTCCTGGATCCTGGTTTCGGATCAGCATAGCACCGGCCATTGCGCTCACTTGGGGAGTGAATCACTGGATGGAAGATCTTCCTCTCTATCTCTCCTCCTCTCTATATATCTGACTTTGTAATAATAATAGTTAAAAAAAAAAACAGTTAATCCAGGTTACCCTGCCATACTGGAAATAGAATTTCCAGAAAAAAGAATATGCATTTGACATTTTGATAGTTATAGTTACATTGCTCGACTCCACCTCACCCCAAATGGTCATACTAATTATACTCAACCAGGTACTGAGGAATTTCTTCTGTACAAATGCTTCCGGAAATGGGCATATCACAACTTTTGAAACTCTGGCAGTTATATTTCCATCATCAGAATTTCAAATTCTTTAAAAAAAAGGAATATATTTGTTCTATGTAACATTTTGAATATTCAAAATACTTTCAGTACTCTATTAGAGTTAATTGCCAACGTTACAGCAAATACACTGGAGTCAACCAAGTGACATTTCTAATTTATTTTATTACAAATGGTTTCTACATTTTATGTTCCATTTCTGCTTTTAGTTGGCTTTAGTATGTTTAATGCATTTACTCTCAATGCAGTCATTTCAAAGACGGGAATACTGTCCCTTCGTCCCCTCTAGTTCTTGTCAACATGGTAATCTTTAGGTAAATCCTACAGTGTTTTGATTATAAGGAACACAAGCAACCCTCAAGACAGCTGATTTATTCAAGCGGCTCCCCCACTATCTCTGATCCGTGGAAAAGTGGGTACCCTGAAGTTCGGGTACTGATGATAATACTTCAGAGCATAAGAAAAAACTTCACCAGGTCAAAACCTGGTGACCTTGCTCCACTTTTCTCAGAGTTCTAATCTGGCAATAATTTGCACTCATTGGTCAAGAAAAAAGTATTTTGATTGAGATTCAACTTTCAGAATGGCAAGGAAAAAGAATTGCAGATATATCACAGAATTAACTGCAGGACTATTTATAACTGTCAGTCCTACAACTTCTTCCATCTGTTACCTTGACTGCCTTCCTTAAAAAAAAAAAAAAAAGATGTGTTGTAAAAAACAAAGAAAAAGGAGTGAGCCAACATTTCTTTGGAAATTAATTGCTTCAAAGGAGCTTGTTTGTTTGCTTGTTATGAGCCACCTCCCTCACCCCAGAGAGAATGAGAGTATTCTTTCTGAAGAAACATCCCAGAGCCCAGCATGTTAGCCTAGCAGCTAAGGTTGTTACCTTGCACACACCAGTATCCCATATGAGTGCTGGTTCTAATCCCTGCAGGCCCTGCAGCTCCCTGTTTTTGGCCTGGAAAAGCAGCAGAGGATGGCCCAAGATTGGGGACCCTACACCTGCATGGGAGACCCAGAAGAGGCTCTGGCTCCTGCTTTCAGACCAGCTCAGCTCGGGCCATTGCAGCTACTTGGGGTGTGAACCAACGGATGCCTCTCATCCTCTCTGTATATCTGACTTTCCAGTAAGAATAATAATAATTAAAAAAAAACTTAAAAAAAATAAAGAAACATCTGGGCTTGCATTCCTAAATAGTACACCTAAATCTTGGGATCACATTATAAATACTATCTTCCCATAGGGCTTTCTAAGATGTTTTTCCTGCTTTGGCAAAAGACAACAAAAGAGACAAATACAAAGGAACTAATAGGCTGTAAGGATAGATTATTCAGAGAGAAAAATATTAACATATTAAAAATTAGAGCAGTTTCTCCACTATGACTGTAGTGCCCTGGTTTTACACATGAAAAGCATCAAGATGCACTACCAAATGCCTTTAATGCAACAGATTACCCTGCTTCAAATACCAGCAAGGTAACTCGTGGCCATTCAAAGGCTTGCCTTTTCCTGGGGTCTGAATGTTGGTATCTATTCTCAAAATCCATATGCTCAAATATGTACAATATATATTCATTTTCTTGCTTTTATTTATTTTAAAGGCAGGGAGAGAAGGGAGGAGGAAGAGGAGGGAGTGGAGGAGTGGGGGCAGGAAGGCAGGGAGACACAGAGAATTCTCTATTTGGTGGATCATTTCCTCAAATGCTCATACCAGCTGGGGCTGGAGCAGGCAGAGAGCAGGAGCCTGGAACTCAATATGGGCCTCCCACATGGGCGACAGGTGTCCAAGCACTAGAGCCATCACCTGCTGCCCCAGGGGTACATCAGCAGGAAGCTGGCTCAAAAGTGGAGCAGACACCTGAATTCAGGCACTGAGAGATAAGATGCAGGCATCTCCACCACTGCCCAAAAGGCTGAATCCCAGATGCTGCAATCTTCATCTCCAAGGTGATGTTATTAGGAGGTGGGGCCTCTGGGAGGCGATCAGATAAAACAGGCAGGACCCTCATGAACAATCCCTTATTTAAAAAAAGCTCAAGAAATCTCATTTGTCCCTCCCACCACTTGAGGACACGGTGAGAAGTTTCTATGAAAACTTGTTCTTGCTAAATGCTAGGTGAGAACATCTTTGGCTCCGCGCCCTCCAGGACTATGAGGAACAATTTCCTGCGAGGAATAAAGCAGCATGTGATGGTGTTTCCTGAAGCCTGAAGAGACTAAGACGTGACTCAGGCTGTCTTAGAAGTTAGTGTTATGCTTTAGTTACATTTCTGCACCATAAGACAAGAACATCTGAAAAAAGGCACTGCAGGTCCTGCTCCTTGTAGTACAAGACGGCCCAAGTATTTGGACCTTTGCACCCAGGCGGGAGACTGGGAGGAAGCTCTGGCTTCAATCTGCTTATACTCAGCTGTTGAAATCATCTGGAGGTGAGCCAGAGGATGGAAGAGCATTCTCTCTTGCTGTCTGTAATTCTGCCTTTCAAATATATTTAAATAAATTTCTCTATTTCTATTTCTTTCTTTTTTAAGTTAAGACAGTTGGATATCCACACAGGATTTATAGCCAAATGCATAATGGCCCCA